CCCCCCTCCCACACTAGTTCCCCCCCCCCCCCCCCGCCCAGTTCCTCCCTCCCTCCCTTTCGCGTCCCTTTTGTGGTCACGATTTTCAGTCATTTTGCTTCAGGAAATGCATTGTCCAGCTGTGTCCGGATCGGTTTGCCTTCAGGTGTTCCTCCCTCGCTCCTTCCGGCTCTGCCTCGGAACCTCTCCTTCCGTCTCTCTCCTTCTGCGTCCGTCGCGCTCCTCGGCGCGAACGCCCGCGTCGGAGGCCGTTCGGGCGGCACTCGGGGCTGCGACCCGCGCCCGGACGCTCCTTCGGGTGTGCAGCCGAGAGGCTTTTTGCCGCCGCGGAACGCCCGCGCCGCGCGCTCGGCGGCGGCGGGAGCACGGCGCCCCTTATACCTCTGGTATAAGGGGCGTTATAAGAGATATTTGTAAGAGATGTTTATAGATATTCATACAGTTCATACACACACACACATCATGTGATTGCGTTTGTATATATTTGTGTATATATACATACAAAGAGGACATAAGCACTCGTATTCCCCGAACGCGAGCACAGCACACCTCCATTTATAACCCCGCGTAAGACACAGGTTGCCATTCTGAACGGGCGTCGGCGACCCCAACTGCGGCTGAAGTGCAGGCTGAAGTGTCCGAGCGCAGTGAGCGGCGGGGCGACGGCGCCTCAAGATGCCGCTGCTGGTCTCGTTTCGCGAAGAGACTGAAATGGAACCGATTGCTTGTTTGGGCCTCGGCGCAGGGGGCCCTTGAACAGCTGATAATCTGATATAGGCTGATACTTATAGCCTATCGTTTCCTCGTCCTTTTCATTATCGTAATTGTTGCAGCGGTCATTATTATTACTATTAGTAGTAGTAGAGCTGCTATTACTATTGATTATCCATTTAAAGTGCTCTAAGATCGGAATCGCACAGTGGCATCGAGTCCGGCGACCCTCGCGCGGACTCCCCGACTCCGCGCCGCCGCGCAGGGCAGCGAAGTCCCGAGTGAGCGGAGAGTTCGTAATGAGAGGACGACAGTCGTGCACGCGAGAGATTTCGGGAAAGGGAGGCGGGGTTAAGGCGGCACTTGGAGGGCACTTGGAGGGAGGCGCTGGGAGGGAGGCTGTGCACCATTGGGCGAGGGGCAATTGCAATTGCCATTGATTGGGCGAGGGAGGCAATTGCACCATTGAAAAAGAGGATGAAGAAAGAAGGAAGAAAATGATACGTCTCTGTTTATTGGCAGACTGCAATATTCACGTGGAAATTCACATAAATCAACATTTGGAACATTTGGTTATTAGCATTCAAGAAATGTCTAGGATCCGAGTTAGAAGCAGTTAGAAAACGGTCTGTAAGTGAGTCCAAAAGGTGTTGGCAGACGCTGAGGAAAGTGTTGGGAGCCTCGGGGTGCAGGGAGAGAGGGGAAAGGGGGTTGGCAGGCGGTGTTGGGAGCGTTGAAGAGGATGTCAAGGTGCGGGTGTTCGTGGTGTTAGGCAGTGCGGGGAAGGAAAGGGCGGTGGGTGGTGGAAATGCCCAGTGACAGAGGGAAAGTTGTCAGATGACTCATCCTCCCCTTCTCCTTACCCTCCTACGCTATGCTTGCTCGCTCTCTCTCTCTCTTCTCTTCTCTCTCTCTCTCTCTCTCTCTCTCTCTCTCTCTCTCTCTCTCTCTCTCTCTCTCTCTCTCTCTCTCTCTCTCTCTCTCTTTCCCGCCTCCTCCATCCTATGCATTTCCCCTTTCTCCCTCTCTGTATCTTTCTTTACCCCCCCCCCCCCCAACCCCACAGCACCGCGAGTAAAAATAATTGGGAATTCCTCGCGGGGGGGGGGTGGGGGGGGGGTGGGTTCGCTCCCTCACGAAGCCGTTTCCGCGCATTCGGTGCTTGCTTGGCGGCGCTCCTGGCCGTCGCGAAGGCAGGGCCGGAGATGCAAAGCTCTTTATTAATCGCGTTTAGATTCTTCCACGCTTCTTTGAGCGCAGTGACAGACGTGGATGATTAATGCGCGCGGGAGGTTTAGCGCGCGCTGTGGTGGGGCCGCGCGCGTGTCCTGATCAAGGGCGCCCTTGTGGGGTTGGATGCCGCGGGGAGGGGAAGGGAGGGGCGGGGAAGGAGGCGAATCCCCCGTGTTTAGGAACTCTTGAGATTATAAAGTGGAAATTTGTGTAACCTGCGGTGAGTAACGGTCGGGATGAATATCGTGTTGGCTGCAGGCGTCGAGTGGGGCTGCGGGCGGGGAGAGGCGTGGCGGGTTCTCCTCGGGCTCTCACAGCGGGGCGGCTCAGGAGCACCTCCACCGTCTTCCCCCGTTGCGTCCCGCCCACTTGCACTGGGCCGCCTCGATCATTCTGCTTTTCCATTTTGGCTTTTACCTGAATACCTCTTCTTCTCTCTGTCTCTTGCCCTCGCTGCCCCCTCCTCCGGGGGCAGCGTTTCTCCGCGCACCTCGACCAGCATTTCCTGTGCCTGTCCCTCTGGCGTGACCCCCTCTGACCCCCTCCTCCCCCCCAGTGCTGCTCGATGGAGGTCACGACGGAGAGCATGTCGGTGATGGCGGCCACGCTGGCCAACGGCGGCATCTGCCCCATCACGGGCGACCAGGTCATGCAGCCCAACGCCGTCAGGGACGTCCTCTCGCTCATGCACTCCTGCGGCATGTACGACTACTCGGGCCAGTTCGCCTTCAAGGTAGGTTCGCCTCTCTTTTTCTCTTTTTTATCTCTCTCTCTCTCTTTCTCTCTTATCTATCTATATCGGTTTGCATGAGAACGCCTTTTCTCTCTGTCTCCTCCTCTTCCTCACTTCTCCCTCTCCTCGTTTCCGTTTCCCTTTTCTCCTCTGTAAATCTAGAATAAGGATAGAAAATAACTGCCGTGAGAGCAGATGGTGATATCAGTTTCACACAATAGATAGAGATTGATAAATGACATGATTCATAGATTAAGATATGACTGAGAAACCGATACATCAGGTTGACTGAGTATGAGGTTGTCTGATCTATTGATAAATAAGACTGAACGATAGATGGGCAGGTAAGTACGTAGGTAGACAGGGAGAAGGTAAGTAGGCAACCTCCCCAGTCGCTCACTCACCCCCCCCCCATTCGCCGCCCGCAGGTGGGTCTCCCGGCCAAGTCGGGCGTCTGCGGCGCCATCATGCTGGTCATCCCGAACGTGATGGGCGTGTGCACGTGGTCGCCGCCCCTGGACTCGCTCGGGAACTCCGTCAGGGGACTCAAGTTCTGCGAGGTAGGTCCTCTCTCTCTCTCTCTCTCTCTCATCTCTCTCTCTTCTCTCTCTCTCTCTCTCTCTCTCTCTCTCTCTCTCTCTCTCTCTCTCTCTCCTCTCTCTCTCCTCCTCTCCCCTCCCCCCCTCCCTCTCCCCCTCCCCTCTCCCCTCTCCCCCCTCCCTCCCTCCCCTCCCTCCCTCCCTCCCTCCCTTCCCTCCTTCTCCTTCCCTTCCCTTCTTCCTTCCTTCCTTCCTTCCTTCTTCCTTCCTTCTCCCCTCCCTCCCTCCCTCCTTTTCTCCCTCCCCTCACTTCCTCCCTCCTCTCTCTCTTCCTCCTCCTTCCTCCCTTCCTCCCTCCCTCCCTCCCTCCCTCCTCCTCCCTCCTCCCTCCCTCCCTCCCTCCCTCTCCTCTCTCGCTCTCTTCCTCCCTCCTCTCCCTCCTTCTGTGTAGTGCAATACTAACGTGCTGGTTTAGCACCCTGCTGACTTGCGTTCCGTCCCGCGCGCCGCCTGAGGTTGGCAACCCCGGCGGCCGTCCCTTGCACACAGGGGGAGGTTTGGAAGCAGAATAAAACAGATAGTATGTCACAGCAAAGAATGCCCACTGAAACAAATGGAATTGAAACTGAATCAAATCAAAGCAAATTCACTCCCTCCCTCCCACCTTCTCTCCCTCTCTCCCTCTCCTTTTTCCTCTCTCCCTCCTTCCCTCTCCCCTCTCCTTTCTTCTCTCTCCCGTATTTTTCTTCCTCCTTTCACGGGACCATTCGCTTCGTTCGCGACGGCCTTCCTCTCCGCCCTTCCTCTCTCCGTGGCAGCGGCGTGCGAAGGGGAGGACCTGGCCCTGGAGGAGCGCCCTTGCAGCGTCGTTCGAGCATCAAAGCGAGAATGAAGATTAGGTGATTTTTTCCCATTTTCTTTGATTATCTTCCCACTTTTGGAGAGTGAGTGGCAGCTGGTGTTGTGTAGTGCGACAGCGGCTTAATCTTTGTTGTTGTTGTTGTTGTGTGTGTGTGTGTTGTGTGTGTGTGTGTGTGTGTGTGTGTGTGAGTGAGTGTGTGTGTGTGCTTGCGCATGTGTGTATGTGTGCTCGTGCCCTTGCCCAACCGGGCGGGCAGATCCCGGCCGGGCCGTGGGCGCGCCGCATGCCCTGGGGTCTTGCCGCTAATGTCTTGTTTATTTTCCGTCCCTTCGTCACTCCTTTTTATCACAAGAGCGCTTTCTGCGAGAGTTGCTACTTGCGTTGTCAGAATCACTCCGTTTTTCGTTTAAGAAATGGAGCGTTTTTTCTAGCGGCGCTACGCTCTTGGACAGGCAGGCTCTGAGGAAGTAACTTGACCTCAGTTGGAGAAGAAGGGTCAGGTCGAGGGAGCGCTGGCATCGGGGGGTTTCCGCGAAGCCCTCGGGCCCCAAATCGCGTGTAGAGTCTGCTCAAACAAACAAACAAAAACGATCCGATGAATGAAATACACACGAAGATCTGCCTAAACTCACGGACAAGCAGAGCCAAGCAAATAGAACAAACACACCGGCACACGCGAGCACAAGCACATACTCAGAGGCAAGCAGACAGGATGAAAAGCACTTGAACAAACCTCCACGCACACGTTCCACGCAGCATCGCTGAGGGAGCCAGAAAGAATTGACATAAACTTCTGCATAGACACAGATAGCCAAGCTGTTCCCCGTAAATATAGGAAGAAAGAAATTTCGTCCTTAGAGAGGGTGTCTGCGCCCACGCCCAGCAGTCCCTCGCCCGCCCTCGTGCGGCCGAGGGCGTGCGGAGCGGGTGCGTCTGCCTTTCCCGCGGAGAGCCCTTTACGCCCGTGTCCTGCGGGCTCGACGGAACCGCCGCCGACGTGGGCGTTTCTCGGGCGCGTAGAAGAGGGACCTGATGCCTCGTATTCCCGCGCTCTCGATCTCCGGGGTCGCTTCCGCCGCCGTATTCCGCGCGGAGTTTATCGCCGAAGAATGTATAAATAGCCGTGGGCGTTGTTGGCAGGAGGGCGGGAACAGCGCGGCCAACTTCTTGAGAGGATGCACCTCTCGCGGCTCCATTGTTTGCGAATGGGCGCCTCCGCCCACGCCTCGCGGTCCCGATCTCACGCACTCCGCCCACGTCTCACCCGCCGCCCCTCCTGCACACCAAGGGCCCCTGTGCCACTCCCACGCCCCTGCCCGTCCATTCCTCCCTGACCTCCAGCTCGCCCGGACGCCCTCGCCGCCCCCGAGACCCCCGCGTGCATTGCCGGGGGCGGCGGAGGAAGTCTACGGACTCCACGCGCCACATTTAACTACTTTTTTTCTTTGTAGTACCACAGCTTGTCCACCGCGCCTGTGCAGTTAGCCAGGGCGGTAAATAAAGGCCTAAACTTTTTTCTGTTACTTTTATACCTCAACCTCTTTCTGTCTGTCTGTCCTTCCTTCCAATGCGGGGCTTGGCAACTATCCTTGTCATTGCTGAAAAGCCGACCATTGATGAGCGAAAGGGCATGGCCTCGGCCTTCCCGACCGGCCCTGGAGTACCCCGCTTCCCTCCCGCAGGAAATGGTGCAGGTGTTCAACTTCCACCGCTACGACAACCTGCGCCACGCCGCCAACAAGAAGGACCCGCGCAAGCAGAAGTTCGAGTCGCGCGGACAGAAGGTGGTGTCGCTGCTGTTCTCCGCCTGCTCCGGCGACGTCACGGCCATGAGGAGGTGGGCGAGCGCTGCATATAATATACATATATATATATATATATATCTGTGTGTGTGTGTGTGTGTGGTATGTATATCTATGTATATATATATATATATATATATATATATATATATATATATATATATATATATATATATATATATATATATATATATATATATATATATATATACGCACACACACACACACACACACACACACACACACACACACACACACACACACACACACACACACACACACACACACACACACACACACACACACACACGCACATATATACATGTATATATGTATAAATATGTATAGATAGGTATGGATATATTGATATGCATATATGCATGTGGTGAATTACATAGTGTATTCCATTGGTGATTATGAAATAGAAAGAACTTCACCTAAAACTGGCCTCCTCAGCTGAGAGGACCCGCACGGACTGAATATCTCGAAGCCTAAAAACCCTACAAGAGTCCCCCCCCCTCCCCCCCTCCCCGCAGGTACGCCCTGGCCGGCCTCAACATGGCGGAGAGCGACTACGACGGCAGGACGGCGCTGCACCTGGCCGCCGCCGAGGGCCACCTGGACACCGTGCGCTTCCTGCTGGACAAGTGCAGGGTCCCCCCGACGCCCAGGGATCGGTAGGGCTCCCTTGGCATTCGTGCCCTGGCGGCTTCCACGCTCAGTTGGTGTGGAAGGGCGTACGGGAAGGCAGAGAGTGTTGTAAAGTCACAAGATTTTTTTTTTTTATTATTCGGTGGGGATTAGGAGACGTTTGATAGGGAAGTAACATATGACGCAAGCGGAACTTTTGTGGGATAGTCACAAAGTGCATGTGTGGATCGATGACATAAATTTACGGAAATCAGTGTCTTTGGATTATATTCTTGCATGCTGTTCACCTCATGGCAATAAGCAATGTACATGGATTTTTTCTTTGCACAATGAGCAGTCTTTTCACTGGTTCCCCCTTGGCCAGCGGACCAGAAGTATAAAAGATGAACAGAATGAACAGCCCTTTCCACCATAGCGACGGGCCTCAGCCTCTCCTCTCCCCCAGCTGGGCCCACACGCCGGCCGACGACGCCGAGCAGTTCGGGTTCCCGGAGGTGGCGCAGTACATCAAGGACTATGAGCAGAGCCTGGAGGAGGCCAAGAAGAAGGACACCATTGAGGAAGCGGAGGAGGAGACTCAGGCAGAGCAGTAAAAAGACTTTTCAAGGGACGGGGAACTGAAAGACGTCGTCTGCGAGGCATTTAGACATTATTTCTTTCGGTTGATTTCTAGTCATTGGAACGTACATTTCCAGGTGAAAGTGTATGTGTGCTCTTGTTGTTTTTTACTCTTTTTCTAGTTTAGAAACGATGGTTAGAATCACCATAAGATAATTTGTATATGTGATGTCAGTCAGTTATATTCGACTCCATTTTCGTGATACGAATTGTTATATATTTTCCTTTTTTATCATAAATGATATATACATAGCCATACTGTATAAACGGGAAACTGAATAAAGGCATCAGACATATTTCCCAAAAAATAATTTATTGTAGATAATGTTATTTTCATTAAATTTATTGGCACATTGAAGAATTTATTATCATTTTAAGAAAGTAGTATATTTACAATTCCATATTTTCTGAAGAAAATTATAATAGTATACCTTGTTCTTAAAGTAAGATAAAAATTATATGAAGTGACAAGCAGTAATAGGAGTATGTGTCAGGCCTATAGTAAAGTGTGGATGTATAGAGTAACACTGTATTTTGTGTGTGTGTGTGTACACGTGTCTGCGTCAGAAAGAGACACTTCCATCCTATCAGTGACAGAACAAAAGTTCAACAAATTCTGTTAACGTTCATCGCCTTACATTTTGAAAATTCACTGTGACAATATCTACCAGTATGTGATTCTGAATCTTCCATGATGTAAAGATGTGCCTTGAGAAGTAGGCAGAGTAAGCACCATCTTGCACGTTGCAGTTAATGCACTTTTCGGCACGCAAAGCAACTGGCTTTTTATGCTTCATTTATGGTTTGTCATTAAATCATGATTTTGCCTTCTTAGGTAATGTTTAAAGGTGTATTGATGGATGTGAATAGGGGTAGTGACAGAGGCAAAGTAGATGATAAATATACATACGCACATACATGTATGGACATTCTCTTTGTCAATCCCCCCCCCCTCTCTCTCTCTCTCTCTCTCTCTCTCTCTCTCTCTCTCTCTCTCTCTCTCTCTCTCTCTCTCTCTCTCTCTCTTCTCTCTCTCTCTCTCTCTCTCTCTCTCTCTCTCTCTCTCTCTTCTCTCTCTTTCTCTCTCTCTCTCTCTCTCTCTCTCTCTCTCTCTCTCTCTCTCTCTCTCTCTCTCTCTCTCTCTCTCTCTCTCTCTCTCTCTCTCTCTCTCTCTCTCTCTCTCTCTCTCTTCTCTCTCTCTCTCACTTTCCCTCCCCGCACACACAGACACACACACACACACACACACACACACACACACACACACACACACACACACACACACACACACACACACACACACACACACACACACACACACACACACACACACACACACACACACACACACACACACACACACACACACACACACACACACACACACACACACACACACACACACACACACAACACACACACATACACATACACACACACACACACACACACACACACACACACACACACACACACACACACACACACACACACACACACACATATACACACACACACACACACACACACACACACACACACACACACACACACACACACACACATCACACACACACACACACACACACACACACACACACATACACACACACACACACACACACACACACACACACACACACACACACACACACACACACACACACACACACACACACACACACACACACACACACACACACACACACACACACACAGAACATTGTGCCATAATGAATGTATGCATAAACACATACAGACAATGGATATGCATACATCCATGTGCATGTATTTATTTCTACCTTACAGATCAACACAGGGCATATTCTTACATAGCTGTTCTTGTAATGAATTGGTCATTGACTTGGCTCCCAAAACTGAAGTATTTTATGGCACAATATTTTATCCCTACCTTTTTCTTCTGCAAGTCTTATGATTAACCAGACATTTGCTAGATTTTCAGCTTAGTGTAGAGTTTACTTTCCCCTTCATATATTATTGCATGGCCATATCACTTCTTCAAAATTTCATGTCTGAAATTTACTCATTACAATTGTAATTTTTCTATTATCACTTTTTAATCTTTCATGATTTATCATTATCATTATGCCTGTTTGTTAGTACTCTCTGCTCAGTACCAGTGTTTATGAAATTGTTAATTCAGTAAAGTTAGTCATTCTGTAGCTTGTACAAAATGTATAGTAACAATGTTAATATTTAATTTGCAACGATACATTGCCATATTTATTCCTGCCTTCACTATCCATTGAAAAGCTGTGTCCAAGATACACAAGTACTCTTTTAATGATAAATATAATGGATTACCTATTGTTGCAATGTTCCAGAATAAGTGATAAATTAACACAAGTGCATTTTTACCCAAGAACAATCTTGAAGCAATAAATTTTTAATGTAATGTAGTCCAGTTTTGCTAAAGATATATGATGAATTGAACAAATGTAAATGCATAATGATACAAAGTAGGTTGTAATATTGTTTCTCAACCATAACAGAATTGTAACCTACACTATTTTATCATCAGAAAATAAATTAATATATTGTACAGTACAACTAACATTTGCTGGTGAAAAATGTTAGCAACCACCTTATCAGATGTAATAAGTGGAGTTTTACTGGTCAGCTGACAATTCGTTACCACAATTTCTCTGATCCTCCTGTGAAGTAATTCCTTGAAACTGGGCAATGGATTTACTGTTGCATATTTGAAGTTCAGAAAAGCCTACTTCTTGCATGATGATGTGCAGTGATACAGAGTATGCTACTTTGCATCCAGTGAATACATTTCCAGTATTTAATAAAACAATGATTTGCTGTCCAAATTGGAGTGTCTTCATCAACTGTGTTCAAGAGCTTTGGTAACTAGATGAATGTACAGATACACTATAGGTTTTCCGGCAACTGATGGTTTGGCATCTCTTGTAGCCTAGACAGAATTAGGAGTGGAAACTTCAATGTAAAAGCAATGCCAGATTGGTTCTTTGGGCAGCCGTGTGGCACTGTGGGACATGCTCAGTTTACACAATACAAAACTGGCTGGATCACCTCCATTGAGCTTGCACAAGCCCTTTTATATTTGACATGACTTCTAAGGAATGGAGGTGTCTGATATTGAACATAAAAAGTTCATATCAATGAGAGAAAAGATGGGTGTTCACAAAAATCAACTGCTGCTTCAAGGCAAAATCTGTGCCAGATTATTATTTGAATTATTGTGACTTCTTTTGGTCAAACTAAATAAATAATTCTGCAAGGGCCAGGAACCAAGGTTCTGGAAAATCAGTTGTTTATCTGTTTTATTAGTAGAATTCATGGTGATTAAAAAAAATGTGTAATAGAGCATTTCTGTACATCTATGTTGTCACAGTGGTGTAACGTGAAAAGACATTGAAAACTGTAAATTATTTAATCCAGTGGTTCCCTAGTTCCTGAACCCCGGGGAGTCTTCAAAAGTGGAATTGGGGACCATAATATAAGTTCAGAATTTATGTATAAGTTCTCATGACAAGGCTGCTAGATAAAAATCAGATTTTTAGTTTGATTTCTAAATACTGATGTGCATTTAACTGAATATTGTAAAACTAGGAAATTGAATTTTTTGTTTGTTTATAAAATTAAGGTCCAAAGGAAAATTAGATTTAACAAAGAGTAGTGCCAGGCTTGGGAACCACTAATATAGTCATAGCTGTATAATGCCTCTAAGTTGCCCTTTTAATAAGTAATTACTTCTTAGTTTCACTTAAAAACAACAGGAACTTTTTTCAGGGTGTCCTGTTTGTTTCATATTTACTGACAGACCTTCAGGCAAGTTGGTTCTCTGTGATAAAATTAAGAAAAAAATAGAATTTTCAGTTTGGTTGATTATTCAAAATGATGATGTGTCAACAATTAAGATTTTTTAGCAGCAGTGACCATTTGCCACCATATGCATTGCCTGCATTTTAGCTTTTGGATAGTTGAAGCTAAGCATTCCTCACTCTCAAGAATACTCCTTTAATTCTGCTCAACCATCAGTTTATCTCCTGCAATAAATACACAAAAGGCACTTCCATATATCCTTCCATTTCATTATAAACATAACCTTTGTTTAATTATAATCATTGCAATGAGATTGGTTGTATGTATATTTTTAAAGTTACAATTACAATATAGGCATTTTATGTCACAATTATTTGCCAACTTTGAACTTGTCATATCTTACTGATTTTCAGTAGTTTCAGTGTGGCTGTGGATTTCAATGTTTGTAGCAGTAGTAATAGGCATGTATACTTGTAAATGAATGGTAAATGCTAAGTAATATGAAGTTACAGAATGATATCTCTATAGAGAATAGGTGAACAAAATATTCCTTTAACAATAAATGTCTAAAAAGAATTGCATTTCTTTACTGAGAAATTTGTTATACCAGTCTACCTAATGCCTCATTTTATATTTTATGTTTTGTACATTGTTTCAACCCACATGTTTGACTTCAGAGATCATTTCTTTTTCTTTGCTAAATGATATAAACTACCTCACATATGAGGTCAGTCCAAAGAGAAACAGAACTTAAAAAAAGACATGTAATGCTTTACCCACAATTTATTTTTAGAAATTTTTTAAAAAGTCTCCTTCACTGTTTATGTAAGGCTTCCAGAATATTGTCCAATCCTAGAAAGCATCCTGCAATGCATTTTAACATTCAGGTTTTGTGGCACATTTACTTCACTATAATTTGATAATGCAGATCATCTTTTTTTAAATGTAAGGGCATTATTAATCACGAGTGTTCCACGGTCACAGTCAATGAAGACCTTTTCTTGGATATCCTGTGTCATTTGAGAAGGCAGAACAAAAGGAAGAGGAGTGGACAGACGAAGCCTAGATCCAAAATGCTGCAATTGCTGTTGCTTTTCCTCACTGGAAAACTTGTATCAGCCTTTTTTTCTCTCTCCTTTTTTGAAGTTAAAAAGACAGCCAAGAAGGTCAAGAATAGAAAAGAAGGAAATTTGTTTGGGACTAAAAAGCACTCCACAAATGGGGGAAACACGAGTGCCCTGTATCAATAGTGGAGGGGATTAATTTGAAGCATGCAAGTCTGAGCACTTGGTAAGTGATGAAGAAATGTTTCCAAGAAATCTAAGTTTGTTCTTGGACTGGCTTCATGTATTTTCATTTCACTGGACTTTGGTATCTAGTGTATTCCTCATATTTCACATTCAATAGTTTTATAAAGAATACTAATTTGTATTACAAGTAGTAAAAGGGCCACTTTTTTTTTTTTTTCTTTCTTGCATCTTTACAAATTTCCTGTTTAAATCTACAAACAAGATGTCTGTAAATGTTGAATTGATGAC